CTCTGCCCTGTGGCTGAGTTGGATCTGGTGTTCAAAAGCACAAAATGTGATCCCTTTCAACTCGCCTGAGAAATCAGCATTTCAGTGGTGATACCAATTCCGTTACTGGTGAAGCCCCACGAAAAATTGCTGATGTTTGCATGTGTTTGGCACTTGAACATCTGCAACGTTGTGCTTGTGTTGGTTATGTTAGTTAAACCAAGGTTGAACCAAGGTTAAACCCATGTAAGGAATAAGACGTGTGTTACTTTCGTTCCCATTCAAACCGACGTTTCTTCGCATCTTCCCGACATTTTCCACAGCTGTGGTTCCACACAAGGGATACAGTGGGTTGAACGCCAGCGTCGAAACCACAAAGGTCTGGCGGCCATGGGCCATGGGACCACATCTTTTTGGCTGATTCTTGTTCTTCTGGTACACCCTCTGGTAACTTAGCAGTTAGTTGTGGAAAAGAGACGATTTACCGATTTACCTATCAAAAATTCTGATGTTTCAAGGCTATGTCAAATTACCAGATGGTATTGTGGCACTCTATATTAAATGGTGATTAATTGTCAAAAATATGGAATCTAACTGCTTGAAAACCCTCAAGGATGGTACATTCAGTTCGATGATTTATATATTTATTATTTAATTGTGATCTTCCATAGCGAAGTGCTAAATTACTATAGAGGTTAATATGGTTACCATCTGGTTATTTAACATAGCCATGGAAAATCCCTTATAAATGGAGGTTTGAATGGGAACATCATCTATAAATGGGCCATTTTCCATGGCTATGTTAAATAACCAGAGGGTAATCAATAATACCACCGTCCTGTAAAATGTTAAACACCAATCCGTACTTCTGTAGCTCGGGAGCCCTGGGGAGCCCTCGGGAGCCCTCGGGAGCCCTCGGGAGCCCTCGGGAGCTCCCATTAACCACTCCCGCCATGGCACGATGGTCACTACTAGTCAGAAAATTAGCACAAGGCTGGTTATATATGGTTACCCTCTGGTAATTTAACATAGCTATTGAAAATGGCCATTTATAGTGGATTTACCCATTGAAAATTGTGATTTTCCATAGTTATGTTAGTTTACCAGAGGGTATATCATGTTATATCCTCACCTTTCTCAGTACCATCACTAAGAATTCCATGAATATGTTCTTCGATTCGATAAATATATGTCATATAATATCATATAATATCATACACCAACATCTTAATGTCACACGTATGGCCATGACTAAAAAGTGGGATTCCCCTCCACCTTTTAGTATGATCTCATATCCATCTTTTCTTGGAGGTGTATAATTAGAATAATTTGGTACACCCAATAGAAAAAACCAATCAATTGGGATGCTGTTTAAATGCATTTTTAACCAACAAGCTTGGTAACTCTTGGGGATGTTTTATAGGTTTATCCTTCAGTTTACTACATTGAATTATGGTTTTCTATGGTTTTCTCATATCTTAATCTACATGGCCATCTACATCTCCAACTCGTCCATCAGCCGCACCGCTGGACAGAGCTGGGCTCGGTAGTTGATGAGATCTTCCGAGGTGCACACCTCAGCGATTCTGGGAACCGATGTACCCTCTGGTTATGTCAAAATAGCTATTGAAAATTGTGATTTATAGTGGATTTTCCCATTAAGAAATGGTGATTTTCCATAGCTATGTTAGTTTACCAGAGGGTATTAAGATTATTATTTGGGTGTGTCTGAAAATGTTGTGTACCCCTTTTTACCCAATGGTTTTGCTGATCATTATCCCGTTTTTAAATGGCTATTTCATTGGGAATATAGCCTATTTTCAGACAAAGCCATTTTATATTATTATAATAAATGGTTTATATACATGGAATTTATAGGCTATTTTCCAGCCATGGTATACATGGTTATTTCCCTATAATATCCTATAATGTCCCATCCATTTATAGATGATGTTGTTTCCCATTACCCTCTGGTTATGACTAACATAGCCATGGAAAATCACCATTTTTAATAGGTAAACCATCTATGAATGGACCATTTTCCATGGCCATGTTAAATAACAAGAGGGTAATGTTGCTATCAATTATTGGCTATTGTTGGTTATTACTATTATATAATATCAATAGCAACATCAATAGCAACCTCAGAAAATCTTATTATCGTTACTATTAATTATCAATGTAATTCCTATCATTCCTATTACTATTACTGTTACTATTTAACTAGCATTAGTATTGATATCATTATCATTTATTATACTAGTACTATATAATATCATATATCATTATCTATTATTATGATTTATTATATATATAGCAAATTGAGGTGTTGATCCACCAGCGTCAAGATTGATGTCATACTATGAAGCTTTGCTGGTTGAGAAACATTTGAAGATGTTTGAATGATCTTGAATGATGAACATGCGAAGATTTCGTCTACCTTGAACTGCCCTCCGTGTGAGGAACTCACACAGCATCTGCGATGCAGTCTGGTACTGTTGGCCCCCCAACGTCCAACCAGGGTGTGACGGCATCGGTCTGCGCGCTACTCAGACCAATGAGTGCCTCCCAGCGGGCGTCATCAACCTTCCAACCAAGTTTTCATACGGAATCTATCTGGGTGACCATTCTATCACTTGGCGCTTCAAAGAAGTGCCTTTCATCAAGGAAATGTTCAGCGAATTATCTTCAACAATGAATGAACAGCCTCAGCGTTTGGCCGAATTTGAACGAAAAGAAATTGTTGCATCAAGCAACATGAATCGACATGAATCAACATATCATTTGTGTTGTGTTTTTCCATAGACCCAACTGCATAGCGTACCACCAGGACGCACAGCAGCTGTTCCACCTCAGAGTCGTTGGGTTTCGAACTTGGACCAGAACTGATGTCAAGCTAAGTCTCAAGCTAGTGCATCTTTAGGAAGGCCATTACTGCAGTCAATTTCTCTCATTTTCTGACATTCACAGGAAACATCACTCTTAAATCAGCCATGTTCAAAATACATCAAAATACCCCAGGGCTCGTGTGATATTCCAAACACCTCAGGCAGCCAGGCAGCTGTCATCAAGGTGTGCTACCGCCGTGGATGGGCCTCAGAATCCCCATAGAAAATAGGCAAATCATCTACAAATGGATGGTTTTTCTAAGTCATAGGAGGTTACAGAAAATCATCCAAGTCATGGATGAGTATGTTGAATTATTTTGGTAGATACTAGTAATTACTAGTAGATTTTACTATTGAAGCCCATGGTTTTGGGGCTCCCCCATTTTGGGAAACCCCCAAATGGACGTAAAAGAACATCATATAAAATGGACATCAATGCATAGAAGAACCACAACTTTCCATGATTGGATCATCATTCATCAATGGTTAGTCCATTGTTAATTGCGACTATGCCAAGGGTAGTTATCAACCATGGTGATGATTTCCATCAAAAAACTCTTCAGCAAAATAGCTGGTGTCAATGGATGGCCCATCGGCCCCCTGACTCGGCAAGTCGCGCCGACCTCGGCCCTCAGGGCCACCATGACCGACCGCAGAACGGTCGCACCGTGAAGATCCACGACATTTGTGTTGCACTGAGCCAAGAGATGCGACGGATGACGTCACATGGGACCATTGATAGGGGGTTTTTAATAGGGGAATGTTATCAAATGCCCTAGACCCCCGGAGCTACAGCCAGTGGTCTAAGATAACCAAGATATACCAAGATACTGCCTTGGTCTGATTTCTGTCACATGCTATCACATCTTTGAGCTCCATTCACTCAACAAAACGTGTTAAATGTATGTCCCAAGCTTGGAGACCCCGAAACGCAACCTGTGTGGTGTGGTCCAAACGTCAACACACAACTCATTCGCATCAAAGCCTAGCGCCACAGGCCGTTTTGATCTCACCCTTGGGGTCTTCACTCAACCTACAGGGCTTCACCAGTACCTGGAAAATGATGGCTTGTTCATTCATCTTTCTGTTTTTTATGTGATGAATGTCGCCAAAAAATGCAAAAAACACTATGGAAGCATGGTGAAGCCCGTTTTGGAGCATCGCTTCCTATGTCTACCATGCATTGACATGAGTTTGTCTCCACTCATTTTGGCAAGGCGCTCCGTCAGTTCGGGCCGTGGCCAGAAATGTGTCTTCCAAAAAGTCCGGATTATCAAGTTGAGTTGGGAACATGTGCATGATGCAAATAATATTCGCAGATATAAATAGATATCAATGATATAAATAGATAAATAGGTATCAATCAATATGTACATTGTCATATACATGCTATATATATATATATCAATAAATTGACTATAGTTATAAATAGTATTTAAATAGTTTTAAATAGATATAGTGATACAATAGTTATAAGTAGATGTAACTAGAGTACATACAAATAGATGTAAAATACACATGGACAGAACCATAGAACGGAATTGAATACATAGAAATACAATGAAATATAGGTATAAACACAGATCGATATACATGTATTTGGTGGCATTGTGGTTGGAGTGAATTGGAAGATGATGGGAAAATCATACTCGTGAAGGATCACTCAGTTTGGGCTATTCCTTTGCATCTATATGTGTCAACCAGTCACAGTCCAACATATGCAGCCGGGCAGTCTCTGACGGTGCCAAATGTTGTGGCACTACATTAACACAGCCTGGCAGCATTTCGCCGGGCGAAGATTAGGACGCAATATTCACGCCAGAAAATAGCTTTCCAGTTGCAGCGCGTTTTCTTGTCTTGCCAGAGATCATTTGAATTTAAGTCTAGTATTAGCATGTAATTCTTAACCATCCAATGATTGATATGATTGGGGTACCCATTTTTGAACCGTTCCCATTGAATTTATGGTGGAGTTTGAGTTTTCTTTGACCATCTCCTGGACAAACCCCGACAAAATGGCTACGCATAAGCTGTATCCGTAGCAAGGCGAGCTCCTTATTCTGACGACGTGTTCCTTCCTTCCGTGATCAGAGGTTTAGGTGGACTGGCTGCCTGGTTATCCCAAAAACCCTTGGTTTCAGAGCTGTGACCAAAAAAACGAGTTGCAGAATGTTGCAGACACATCAGACACATTAACCATGCAGAGCTACGCAGCTATCATCCTGCGTCACTCACCAACGCGGGCCACGCAGGATGCTCGTGCAGGCTGCGGAAAGGCCGGAGCTGCAAAATCGAGCCTTGGGACGGCCGACAGCCGACACTGATGGAACAATCTAACCAGCACATGGCTACGAGTCAAAAAAATATATAAAAAATGCAGTAAATACATCTATATACACTTTTGTTTTTTAACTTAGCTATGGAAAATCCCCTATAAATGGAGGTTTTCGTGGGAAAATCCACTATTTTCCGGTGGACTGTCCATTGCCATGTTCAACCGACTGCAACTCGGCCAGCGAGCTCGTCATCTCCCAGGTCAGCCGGACACACCTGGGCTGGATCTGAGCATGATGATGCATGATGTACAAGTATAGGAGAATTAAATAGAATTAAATGAGAATGAAAATAGAGACTCTCCATCCATGAAATTTGTCCAAGATTGTCCAAGTTTCAGTTCTCTCAACAGCTTGGCTTCACTTTTCAGCGGGTCCATTGGCAACAACTCTCTGCACAGGCACTTTGGCTGCGACAGTTGGACAGTGACATGAAGAAGATTTCAATCAGAATCCGAAAAGTCTACATCTTCAATTCTTTGGGGGACTGCAGCCATTTAAATCAGTTTAAAATCAGTGCAATTCACTGTTAGATCACAGACTCCCAGAAGAACAAGGTTTGCGGATCCTGAAACTCTTGAGGAAAACACTCAAGAGTCCATGTACAGTGGATGAATGGTATCATCCTGAGAAAGCCAGGCCCAGCATGTCAGCCATGATTTTGGCCCACTCATTAAACATCATGAAACCTTTTAGTAACGTGGAAAACGAGATAAACCATATCATATCATATCTGTATAGTAGTTGTTTCAGGCGTTATCCTAGTTTGATCCTTTTTTTTTCCAGAAAAATGGATGACTCATGGGTTCCTGAAACTCATTGGTCTCGGGAAGCCTGGCTGCCCTCAGCCTTTTGGCATCCGCTCTCGTCCCCGGAGTCGCTGTAATTCGGCCTCTCGTCCGTTCAGAGTGATGATCGTGAACGACAAATTCCAACTACCCTCTGGTTATGTCAAAATAGCTATTGAAAATGACCATAGAAATAGTGGATTTTCCCATTAAAAATGGTGATTTTCCATAGCTATGTAACAAATTACCAGAGGGTATCTGAAAGCAGCATTCACTATCCCATCCATTGAAAATCATTGAAAGTGCTAGGCATAGCCTGGCCACTTCAGAAATTGAATGCGGAGGATTATCCTTGGCAACAGCCTCATTACCTCGACAGCGTTGCTAACACAGTTTACGCTGGATGGTTGTACATTGCATGTAGCCCCGCATGTAGCCACGTGTTGGATCGACACACTATGCTGAAATGGAAAAAAGAACAACAAAAGTTGTTGTCTTTTACAGAATAATTAATATATATATAATTATTTATGTATATAAACATATTATATTATATATATATATATGTATATTATATATATATATATATATATATTATGTATTCATTTACAGTATTCATGTCCACCCATCACCTCCAAGCATCACAACACCACCAAAGATCAGCGATTCCAGGTGGACCGCCTTCAGCCGGAGCTGTGCAATTTGTTCCTTCAGCAGCCGCTGCTGCAGCCGTTCTTTGCAATGCAAAATGTGCAACTCGAGGTGCTGATTCTCACTGAGATGCTGCAGCCTCTCAACTCTGCATGTCTGTCCAACCGTCCCAACCCCATGGTGCAACAAGAAATAAATGCGCTTAGTAACTTCAGACTAGACTACTTCAGGTGTCAAAAATAAAAACTCATCCAAACAAAAGATCAGAGTCCACAAAAACGGTACATGTACCCGGGAGTCCTCGAACTAAATGGAGGTTTCGAGCTGGGAAAGTCACCGAACACAAATGGTGCATTGTCCATTACCATGTTGGATTACCAGAAGGAAAAACACCCCAAATGACCATCGAATCATAGGGAAAATGATGATAGTCCAATGGATTTGGGATCCCCCATATCATCCGGAAACAAAACATCTCCGAACCTGGGGTCCGACTCCAGCACCCTCACAGCCGCAGCCGCGCGCAAGGCATCTGGAGCATCTGGAGCATCTGGAGCATCTGGAGCATCTGGAGCATCTGGAGCATCTGGAGCATCTGGAGGCGCGGTGCCTGGTGGTTCCCAGTCAAGTTACATGGGATGAATGGGCTATGGTCCATCCATCCCATGGTAAAGCGTATAATGCTGCATGCAACAATGTAACAAGCATAAACGATGTAGATCATAATATGTAGATAAAACCCCAATTGATGACCCTCCGCCAATATGAGCAAGTTACCCTTAGCCTAGCTTCGACCGATTTGACCGGCGCGGCACAGCTATGCATATCTACATTGATACATATTATATATATATATTATATATATACACAACAATATCATCAATATCAACTGAATTGATAATATGAATTAATCAGATAACTTCATATCTGGCTATCTGTTCTCTCCCAATCAAATGCTCAAGGCCGAAATCTGCCGGAAAGTGAGCGCGGACTTAGCAGGGACGCCATCGCTGACAGGGCATTGGTCAACCGGTCAACCGTATGCAGCTGGTTTCCAAGAACCCAAAAAAAAATGAGATCGGATCATTCACAATTTAAGTCTTTAGGTCTTATGAGTAGTTAATTTCGTTAAATCATCTGAAATCACCCAATGTTTGGTGATCAATCCATCATAAAAATACAATACTCACCGCGTGGGGAAAAACTGACCCCTCGCTATCTGCCAAAACGTTTGGGTCATGAGGTGATCCCCAGGTATCCAGGTGTCTGCAGCCCTGTCCGAACCTCTGTCTGAGGGGAAGCTGTTGGGGTGGACTAACAACAGAACAGGTTAGTCCAGAAAAAGTGATTTTCTCACTTTTTACATGAGTCTCCAGAGCTGTGAAAATGGACGTTGGACATCGTTTGACGCCAAGGAGACACAATCAGTCGGATTCCCCATGGCCTGAAGTCACTTCCGGCTCGCTCCTGAGACAGCAACCTTTGTCCCAGTGGATAGGAAATCTATGGTGCAGCCCGTGCAGCCCCCTAGAACCTACATCAACAGTATGGTCAGAATATTTAATTTACTAAACTATACAAAACTGACCATACTATTCACTAAATGATACACAAAACTATACACTAAAGTCGCTGTATGCTATGGCCTAGTACTATATTAGTCCTCTGCAGCTGGAGATCGTGGCAGAGGCCTGGCAGCGTCACTGGTGGCTGCTCAACCCATTAAAAAATGTCATCCCTTTATGATCTTCATGCTGCTTGGTTAATAGATGTTTATGATGTTCATTCCCATTGTGGATGATATTTCCATATATTTCCCTACAGACTCGCTAGTTTTTGACGCCCTTCTTTTCAGCCAACAGGAGTTTTGAACACTGCGAAAACCTGATTTCCACTTGTCAAGATGGCATAGATTCGATATTGAAGTAACTGGCTGGGTTGGGAATCAACTTAGGAGGGAAATGGAGGGAATATAAGTAATGTGGTTAAAACAATAATAAATTACCCGTTGGGAATGGTTTATACCACCTATCTATGGTGATTTGGGGGATGGTTTATGGCATTGTTTCAACCACATTATAGTAGATCCTGAATGGTGAGGGGCCTGAACCAGATGTTCCAATCCTTGGAGCGTCCAACTCACCTTGTTCCGCCGGCGCATCTTTGGAGCAGGTCTCCTCCATCCCATATAGTTGGATCCCATTCGAATCCGGTCAACCACAGCTGGCATTATGGGTTTGGCGAAAATAGGCCAAGAAAACCCATAGGGTCCCCCAAAATCTCAGAAAATCTCATGGTTAACCACCCCTTCCCCCACACACAAAAAAAAGCCATTTTAAGGATCGTTTTGGGGTATCCCCATGTTTGTGCACAAGCCCATTTTTGCATTGGTACCTGAAACTGAAACTCCCTAAAGATTAGTTGAGATTTAGATAGATTTAGTATGGAACCCAAAAACTTACCAGATTTCAGTGTGCCAATCCCGTCAACCAAGCTTGGAAGCACCCCGCCAACTCCTCCTGGATGCTGCTCACATCACGACCGAGTGCTTCCATCTCCTCAACTATATAAGTGATGAAATGGGACTGCGATCGAGCATACCAGAAGACCAGTGGAATGTCTTTGATTGGTGAAATCCACATTTTACGGTTGAAAGAATGAAAATAATTTGGACTAATTTTGCATAGCTCAAAATTGGGGTGAGGTGCCAATTCTAAATGGATAGTAAGAGTTTTAACCCACCTTTAGTAAGGGAGAATCTCTGCATGAAACAATTACTCCGGATATCGACCCAGTTGGCATCTCCTCGGGATCCTCGGGGTCCACTGCAAAGTCTGCCTGTCGCTGTGCCGGCCAAAAGATATCCAGTCCAGTCTGTGGAATTTGGAACTCAAATTCCCAAAAGATTCCAGTTCAAACTCAGTTTTCATAGTTTTCTGAAGGTGAGTCGTTGTTTTCCCTGATGGTCCGGTCCGCCTCCAACCTCAGCGTTTGTGGGTGAGATCTTGGAGAGGGGCTGAAAACCTCAGGCTTCATGGCTGCCTCCACACAGGGAAGTGGCTGGAACTGTACATTCCTGGGCTACCTGCCTTTAGCCGGGAATGTGTCCATTGAACAAAGATAACAAAGTCATTTCAGCAAAAGCATCAAGGTTATTCAAAGTTCTTCATGTCAAGTGCCATCCAGTTTCTCAGAAATCTCTAGTGACATCCCCCAGATGTCCCTGGACCTAAACATTTCAACAACATTCCCTGCTTCGCTGCCTGCAAATGTTGCTGCGCCAATACCACTGCCTGTTGCTGCGCAAGATCCGCTTGTCGCCTGCTCTGCAGCAGCTGGGCCTGGCAAACAACATAGCTGGGAAGCCATGTATCATATATGTGATATCCTCACCAAACACTAATTAACGAAAAGGAAGAACTCTGTCATTAAACATCTGAAAAATGCCGGACATCAGAACCCCACAGAATAATGCCAAATATTGCGGTCTCTCCGACGCACGGAAAATACAGGCTGTATGTTTTTCTGACAAAACATGGGGGGAACTATAATCTTATGCACAGATGATAGATGCGAGATATTTCACTTTTCTTTAAGGACTATCTGTCGGGGAAAAAAAAAGACGCAGAAAATCCTAAAATCCAATCATATCCAATCATATCCAATCACATCAAATCATAAGTTCGTAACGAAATGTCACCTAAGAATTAGGAATAATCGATTGGTCACTTAATTGCAAAGCAAATATGGCATATCATGTAATGTCCAGAAAAGGTGA